TTTTTTTGCGCGGTATGCAGGCCTCTCACTGTTGTGGTCTCTCCCGTTGCGGAGCACAGGCTCTGGACGCACAGGCTCAGCGGCCATGGCTCACGGGCCCAGCTGCTCCGCGGCATGTGGGATCTTCGCGGACCGGGGCACGAACCCATGTCTCCTGCATCAGCAGGCGGACTCTCAACCACTGCGCCACCAGGGAAGCCCAAACTTTTTTAATGTGCCTACTAGAAAATTTACAGTGATGTTTACACAAAGCTAAACGTGTGACTGAAACTGCATAAACACACACACACACACACACACACACACACACACACACACACGAGTGCATGTAAAACCGTGAAGTGGGAATAAGCCCTGTGGGTTGCACCCATGTCTGTTTCCTGGCTTTGATATGGTATTTTAGTTTTGCAAGATGTTATCATTGGGTGAGGGGTGCATGGGACCTCCTTGTACATTTCTTTGCAACCTCCTGGGCATCTGTAATGATTTCAAAATTAAACAAGTTTAGGGCTTCCCTAGTGGCACAGTGGTTGAGAGTCCGCCACCGATGCAGGGGACACAGGTTCATGACCCAGTCCGGGAAGATCCCACATGCCGCGGAGCGGCTGGGCCCGTGAGCCATGGCCGCTGGGCCTGCGCGTCCGGAGCCTGTGCTCTGCAACGGGAGAGGCCACAGCAGTGAGAGGCCCAAGTACAGCAAAAAAAAAAAAAAAAAAAAATTAAACAAGTTTAAAAAAATTACCTACGGGGCTCACATGATATTTCTATTGGTCAGCACTCTTGTAAATGATAAAATGGAGTGGATGAGGGATAAATTAATGATGGAGGAATGGATGGAATGCTACCCGAGCATGCATTCATTTATTCAATTGCAAAAACTCGCTAGAGATGGAAAATTTAAAATAAATAAAACTCTAGTCTTACGGGCATCCCCCCCACCAAAAAAAATGGCTACACAGTGTGAAAGCAGGATGCGGTCTCCTTCTGAGGCCCCTATCAGCTCAGAACAAGCAGCTTCAGCCACATGTGAAGACAAAGCAAATGTGAGATAAGAGGGCAAATCCCCCATGCCCCTCAACTTACCCTGCTCGGGGCTCTCTCCACTGACAGGCGGGGGCGTGGTGAAGAGAGAGAAGGAAAAAGAATGAGGTGTTTGTGCCACCGTGCCAGAGCGCAGAGCCCTCCACAGTGTATAAAGCCCCCTTCCCAGGTCAGAACCCCCCCTTCTCCTTCCAACACCCTTGCAAGGGGTGGACAATCCCTTCCCCGCACCATTCAGATAGACGCTCAGAGAGGGATAGAACTTGCCCAAGGACACACAGCCCACTGGGAACAGAGATGAACCCGCGACCCTGCAGCCCCTTTGGTGAGTTTGATGGGCCAGCTATCCTCTCCATGGGCCCCTGCGGGCCCCCAGCCCGCAGCATCTGGTGATGTCCACTCACCTCTGGACCCCTCGGCCTCCACGCCTGTCCGGTCCTCCTTGGCAACCGCGGCCAGCTGAGCCTGGGCGGCCAGGGCTCCCGACAGGGCCAGCAGCCCCGTAGCACTGCCGCCCACCAGCCCAGCCGGGCGAGGGGTGAGGGGCACAGGGGGGGCGTGGTGCGACAGTGGCTGGAGCTGCTGCTGCTGGAGAGGAGGGGGGGTGGGCCAGGGGCGGGCGGGGGCGGGGCCCCGGCCGTGCCCTACCACCCCCTACAAGAGGCTATGGAGAGAGAGCCGGGACAGGCAGGGTCCAGGCAGAAGGGGCACCCTTGAGGTCTCCAGGGCGGCCAGAACCCAGGCCAGCTGCCCACCCGGCACCCCCAGCTTCACCACCCACGGCGGGGCGGGGGCCGGAAGACTCACGCCGATGAGGCTGTTCAGCTCCCCCACGGTCACCTGCTTGGCCCGCTCCACGGCCTGCAGGACCTGCTGTTGGTGCTGGGGGTGGGTGGGGGGAGGGCGCTCAGGAGAGCCCCCCATCTGCTCAGCAACCCCACCTCCCAGGCCATGCCCTCCGGGGCCCCTCTTCTTCTCTCACTTTTTTTTTTTTGGCGTCGGGATCTTAGTTCCCTGACCAGGGATCGAACCCGTGCCCCCTGCCATGGGAGCGTGGAGTCCTAACCACTGGACCGCCAGGGAAGTCCCTTTTCTCGCTTGCTCTTTGTAGTTTCTTTCTCTCCCTCTCTCCCTTTCCTTTCAAAATCATGAAACAGACAAAGAAACAAAGCATTTAAGTGCAGTTCAAACTAATAATTAGAAATCGGGGTTTATATATCAGGGTCCCTCCCTCGGCACTGCTTACATGGGGGCCGGGTCACCCTCTGTGGGCGTTTGTCCCAGGCACTGTGGGGTGTGGAGCAGCATCCTCAGCCCCCCACTCACTCGATGCCAGGAGCACCCCCAGGGGTGATGACCACAAATGTCCCCAACATCACCCAGTGTCCCCTGGGGGCAGAGTCACCCCCAGTAAAGAACCACTGTACAAATCAGTACCCGAGTACCAACCACCCAGGTCACAAAATACAAACTGGCAGCCTGTAGAGGCCCCGTACACCCCACCCTCATCCCACCCTCCTTCCTTCCTCTCCCCACCTTCCTGCAGTGATAAAATGTCCTCAGTCTGCACTGTTGGATACGGAAGCCACATGTGGCCATGGGCACTTGATATGTGGCTGGTGCAACTGGGAACGGGATGCCTCCTTTAATTTAATTTAATAGAAATTTACATGTAAATTTAATGTAATACATTTTAAAAGAAATATAAATTAATACAAATGTAAATGGACACACATGGCTGGTTGCTCCTGTGTGTGCTCTAAGGCCACTTGTGCACCTGCAACTACCCAGGATGGGGATTTGGGCTGCGTGACACCACTAAGGAGGTGTCAGGATGCTAACCAGGCGCTCCTGTACAGGTCATGCCTGTCAGAGTGTGTCCAGGCCATGGATTAGTACATTTTGACTGTAAAGGGCCAGAGAGTCAATATTTTCAGTTTTGCAGGCCAGAGGGTCTCTATGGAAACTCCACAACTCTGCCATTTTATGCGGAAAGCTGCCATAGACAATAAGGCCATGAGTGGGCATGGCTGTGTGCCAATAAAACTTTATTTACAAAACAAGTGAAGGGCCAGTAACTTGGCCCTCGGGCTGTACTTTGCTGACTCCTAGTCTAGAAGCATGGAATTTGCTGGGGCACCCATGTGTCTTAATTCACTCCTTCCTAAAGTCTTTTTACCCTGTTTCCTGTGGTTTTGGCCTTTCTCACTCCGGGCCACCCTGTCCCCATCCTGGGCTTTCAGACACCATCTCTAAGTCTGAGACCAGAGAGAATCTCACTCCATCCCAAGAGCCCAGAAACCTCAGATTCAATGAGGTCCAAACCAAGAGGAGAACCTTTCCCTTTTTTGGTCCCCAACACAGTGAGGGCCCCCCTGTATCCACCCTGTGTCAGAATCCGTCCTCTTGTCTCTCTGGAGACAGGATACTCCAGATGGAAGCAGGAACAGGGGATGCAAAGGTCCTGAATAACTTGGGGCATTCGCACAAGGGCTAACTTTATTTTTTTAAGTTTCAATGAAGTGCTCATACTCTATAGTTTTATCTGCCCTGTTCCACCTTTTTGTACTATTGTGGTTACAAATACGTAAGAGTTACCCTTTTAACCATCTTTAAGTGCACAGCTCAGTGGCATTAAGTACATTCACACTGTCCTGCGACCAGCCCCACCATCCATCTCCAGAACTTCCTCATCTTCCCAAAAGGAAACTCTGTCCCCAGGAAACATTGACTCCCAACCCCCCTCCCCCAGCCCCTGGCCCCCACCATCTACTTCCTGTCTCTATGGATGTGATGACTCTAGGCACCTCCTATGAGTGGAATCAGACAGTATTTGTCCTTTTGTGACTGGCTGATTTCACTCAACATAATGTAAGGACAAAGTGCTAAGGACTAATTTTTATTGGATATTTACTAAGCACCCAGCATCATCTTCACCACCTTGTATGTATCAACTGCTCTAAATTTCATGACAGAGGCACAGAGAGGGCAAGCCACTAGCCCAAGGCCACACAGCCAGGACTTGGACCGAGGCAGCCTGGCTGTAGGCTTGAGCCCCCCCTCCTCCCCCTCAGCCAACACCCCCCCTCCATCCCTAAGGCCCCAGCCCAGCCAGTGCCCAGGGCCCCAGGCCACCCAGCAGAACCAGTGCCTGTGGCATCCAGCCAGACCCCCTCCCCCACCCTTCTTCCAGCTCCGCTCCCCATCCCCCCCACGAAGCCCACTCACCTCCTGCGTCAGGAAGGGGATAATCTGAGCACAGATACCACTGAGGCGCTTCACAATCTCAGCCTGGCAGGAAGCAATGGGGAGGAGGCTTGGAGGGGAGGCTGTCAATCCAGAACCTCCACTCCAGGGCATAACAAGCCTTTGCAAAGCTTGGGGTGAGGGGCTTGTCACCCGCAGCTGCAAGTGTAGGGCACGGGCTCCGGGACAGACTGAGAGCCTGGCGAGGACACCGTCCACCTGATGTCCAGGGCAGCCTTGAGCCGGAAGACAGGACAGACAGATCCACCACCCGCCAGACCCACTCAACAGAGATTTCCAGAAAGCAGCTGCGCAGCCACCCAGCGCAGACTGTGACCCCAAGAAGCTTTGAGTTTGAGCCCTGGCTGGGCCCAGGTCTCTCTCGGGCATGGCCCCTCTCTGGGTCGTGCCTGCGCCCAGGGGCTGTAGTCAGGGGCGATCCCAGAGCACCACACTCAGGGGTGTGATGCTGTGATATAAGAAATATACATTTGGGGGAAAAGAATTTGAAAAAGAATAGATACATGCATATTGTATAACTGAATCACTTTGTTGTACACCTGAAATGAACACAACATTGTTAATCAACTATAGTCCAACATAAAATAAAAAGTTAAAAAAAAAAGAAAGGAATATACATTTGGTCTTTGCCTCAGTTCCTGGCACAGAGCTCCTAAACCCCTAGAGACTTCTGAGTATTAGAGGCAAGAGGAGCATCTTCTGTTATTCACAATAAGCCCGTTTCACCTGCACGTGAGTTTATTAAGAGGGATGGAACTTTCAATCCCACCCCCAACTCCGACCTCCGGGGAGTCAAGAGGAGCTGGAGATTGAGTCAATCACCAGTGGCCAGTGGTGAAATCAATCGTGCCTAGGTAATGAAGCCTCCCTAAAAACCCCTAACTGAAGTGGTTTCCAGAGCTTCTGGTGGGTGGACACATGGAGGTGCAGGGAGGGGGCGCCCGGAGCGGGCACGGAAGCTCCATGCCCTTCTCCATACCTTGCCCTGTGTATCCCTTCCATCTGGCTGTTCCTGAGTTATATCCTTTATCATGAAAGGGTGATAGTAAGAGCTTTCCCAAGTTCTGTGAGCCATTATAGCAAATTATCAGACCAAGGAGTGGGTCGCGGGAACCTTGATGTATAGCTGGTGGGTCAGAAGCCCAGGAGGTCTGGACTTGCGATAGGCATCTGAAGTGGGGGCAGTCCTGGGGAGCTGATCCCTGAACCTGTGGGGTCTACACTGACTCTGGGTAGTGTGTTAGGATTGAGCAGAAGTGTAGGACACCCAGCTGGTGTCAGAGCTGGAGAACTCGGTGTGGCAAAAGCGAAATATTTGGTGTCAGAGGATAGAGATAGGATACGAAGAGTGTGGGTTTACTTGTAGGTTTCACCTGGGACCGGGGCTGGGCCGGGGACGCCCACAGAGGCTGAGCAGAGGGGAAGCATGTGGGCGGGTAAGGGGGTGTTTTGTCAGCCTGTGCTTTGCCTCTGCCTCTGCCTCAGTTACAGGAGTGCTGGGTGCTGTGTGTATCTGGGTGAGGTTTGTGTCTTCCATCTGCTACCAGGAGGGTGGAACGAAGGCTCCTGGGGCCGGTACCCTACCCCTTACCCTCCATCCTATAAGGGGATCTATCTCATGCACCCATGGGACCACACCACGCTCCAGGCATACAAGCCCCCCGCCACCTACACCAGACGCAACAGAGCCCCCAGAGACCCAGAAAAGCACGCCAAGGCAGGTGCCCCCAGGCACTCCCAGTGTACCCCTACTTCTTCCCACCCACCAGAAAGACCCTAGGTTCTGCCCATTTATTCTAATATTTGGATGGACAAAATCCAAGATTCCTTCAACCTCAGGATCTTGGGGTCCCTTTCATCTCCTTAGAAAACATCAGGGTGCATGGGTGGTAGAATCCTCGCCTGCCCTTAGAAACCATCAGAAAATCTTGAGCTCAGGATCTGGGGGTTAATCTTGAGCAACTGAAGTCAATTGCAGAACCTTCAGGTCTAACTCAGAACCTTGAGATCACACTCAGAAGCTGAGGACAATCTCAGAACCTCAGATCATTAGGGTTAATCTCAGAACATTCACAACAGCGACAGAACCTTGGGGTCCACCTCAGACTCTCAGGATCCATCTCCAAATGTCAGACATGCTGATCTGAAAGGGACCTCTAAGACTGTCCGTTTGTCCCCCTCCTGGGACAGAAGGCCCGCCCCAGCCTGGCTGACCTGGCTGCTGGCTTCTGCTATGAGCCTTCCTTGACAGGGATGCCTGGCCCCTGTCTACTGCCCGACTCTCGTAGACAAGGTCTCCAGAAGTTCATTTTCCTTTCATGAGGCTGAAATCTGGCCCCCTGATCCCAGAGATTTCAGGATAAGACCTCTGTTCCCTGGAGCTGAGGGAGCGACGGGTCCCTCTCACAACTTCCATCCCCACCCCCCCGCCACTGGACACCCTTACCCCCAACACACAGTTACCTGCTTATGCATTTCAATGTTGAGCCCGTAGGACATTTCATAGTACTGCAAAGGAAAAGCTGTCTGGCAATGTCCACCGTGCCCATGGATGTCCAGCTGCTCTGGGTGACGCTGGGTCTTCCAACAGCCCCCAGACTGGGGGGGATCACAGCAGGACCCAGAGCCTCCCAGCTCCTTGGGGGCCCAGAGGGGGAGCCCAGAGAAGAAAGCAGGAACCCCCTTCATTCTCCCCACGGGAGTGGGGGAGGGGGGCAGTACCCAGATACCCTAGCCCCTCAGAGATGCTCATGAGGAAAGTGGGCATCCTTGCCTTATTGTTCTTAAGAGCTGGGAGGGCCCTGGGAGACAGCCTGGAATCCCAAGCTGCCCACTTTACAGATGAGGGAAAATGAGGCCCAGAGCAGGCCGGGGACTTGCCCCAGAGTGGTACTGGAGTCGGGATTCACACCCCACGTGTTTTCACTCACAGCCAAGCTCTCTTCCCCACTCTCCCCCACCCCCCCGCCCCGTTTTGACAACCCGCCTTACCATGACATAATGTCGCTGCATTTCTGTCTTCTCACTGGCCAACTTCTCACACTCCAGCTTGAGGCTGGGAAGGAGACGGGGCATCGGGATCCCACTCTCCCTGCCCCCGCAGCAGGGACACCCACGGACCCCTTCTGGGCCAGTTTCCAAAGCGATGGGATTGGCTCTCCCCCGCCCCACTTCCTCACACACACACCCCCACCTCCCGCCCCCAGGCCCACCCCATCCCTTCCCAGGCTCAAAATGTCCCAGCACTGGACCATCCGTCCTCCTCACCTGCGATTCTACCTGGAAGCCCTCCCTCCCCACGCCCCTGGGGCCCCTCCCTCCCCCCTGCACGCTGGAGGCCCCGCCCCTTCGCCCCAGCGGGCCCCGCCCTTCGCCCCCAGGTGAGCCCCCGGGTGAGATCCCGGGGCCCCTGGGGCGGGACGCCCCCGCCCCCCCTCACCTGTGGTACTGAGCCTGAAGAAACTGGAATTCTTCTTTGATGCGGTCGCAGATCTCCAAGATTGAGAACTTGAAGGGCTGGCCGGACTGAAGCGGGGTCTGGGGGTGGGAAGCCGGTGTCTGAGTTCCCGGACGCGCGACCCTCCCTACCCCCCGCAGCCCGGCCCCCCCACTCACCGGGTGCCTTCCCTGGGGGTACATCCTGTCGATTCGAGAGGCCCCCCCTCCCACGCCGCCTGAGCTTCACGATATGGGGACGGGGGCGGAGAGGCGGCGGCGGCGGGATGGGGGAGAGGCTGGGGTGGGGGGCTGCCCGAGAAAGAAGGGGGCAGCGGCGTGGGGCAGGGGACCCCGGAGTCCCCCGCCCCCCGAGCGAGCGCGCGGGGTCGCGGGGACTGAGGGGCGCCGAGGCCCCTGCCGGGCTGGGGGCGCGAGGCCGGCGCAGAAGGTCGGGCGAGCAGCGGCCGGTTTCAGAGGCGCGGGCGACGGGCCCCGCGCAGAGCCGCCTCCCTCCGGCGGGGCTCGGCCGGGAGCCGCGGGCAGAGCCGCCTTAAGGTGGCGCCGCCGCCCCCCGGCCCACCCACCCCGTGCACCCCCGCGACCGCGGCCGCGGCCTTGGGACCAACCCCTCCCTTCCACCAGGGACGAGCGGGGAAACTGAGGCTCGCGTCCAGCCCCGCAAACGTCGCCCCCTCGCCCTCCCTGAGGGCCCATGAGAGAAAAGCGCAATAAATACCTAGTGGCCCACTGTGGGAGTAGCTTGGCGGGGAGGGGGGCAGTTGGGGGCCAGAAATGGCCTTTCTGAGGAAGTGGGCTAAGACAAGTGTCGGGAGGAAGCAGCCTGCCGAGTGCTGGCTGGGAAACCTGCCTGCACAGAAAGGGACCAGGTGAGGGATGGGGCTGGGGGGCAGAGGTAGGCCCTCGCCTTTTCCTGGCCTCAGTATTCGCATCTGTAAAATGGCAGAGGCAGGGGCTATTTTTAAAGGACACGGTACATGAACAGCCCTCAGCCTGGCCTGGCACAGAGTAGACTCCGAGAGCTGGGAGTTGGGTTCCGGTGGCCACCACCAGCAGACTGGGCTGTCTCCCCTTTCAGACGATGGGCTCCTAGAAAGCAGAGGTCCCAAGGAGGATGAAAACGAATCTCTGCCATCAGACTGAGGTCTCGCTGAGGACAGGGGCTCCATCTCCCATCGCAGACCACAGATATCCTGTGAGGTAGGAGGTGGGACATTCTTATTCCCATCAGGCTTCTGAGAAACTTCAGGGTTGTTTGTAAAGTCAATCAACAAACACGTGTTGACAGCCTACTGTGGACCAGACACTGTTCTAGGCACTGGAGCTCAGCAGGGAAGCAGACAGAGAAAATCCCTGGTCTCCTGTTAATAGCTGCCCCTGTGTCATTAGGTGAGTAAGCAGAAGCATACAAAAGCCCTAACAAATTCATTGGGCATCTATGGCATGCCAGGCATCCTTCCAGGCACCAGGGTGGATGGAGAACAGATCCCTGCCTTCTCTGAGTTCAGGGGATAAGGCAAGATCACAGCTTGGAAATTATGGAATTCTGTGTGCATACAAAGAGGAGTTTAGGGGGCAGTTATAGAAGTAGCGGAGGGAATCTGCTTATCTGGGGTGTCTGGGAGAGACCTCTTGGAAGAGGTAATGTTGGAGATGAGACCTGGAGGATAAAGATGGGCAGCCATGGGAAGGGAGGAGAAGAGAGATCCTGAGAATAAAGATATGAGTGTGTATGTGTGTTAGAGGGAGTGAGTATTTGACGGCTCCCTATTGCCATCAAGATAAAATCCAAACTCCTCCCTCTTCCCACAAGGCCCTGCACAAACCCCCTCCCCACCCTCCCTTCCCTGATCCCAACTTCCTTCACTTTCACCCTCATTCACTCTGCTCCAGCTACACAGGCTTCTCCTGCTCACCTGGTACAGTCCTGCCCCAGGGCCTTTGCACTTCCTGCTCCCTTTACCTGGAATGCTGTTCCCTTGCTTCTCAGTCATTCAGGTCTCAGCTCAGATGTCATCTCCTCAGAAAGGCCCTTCCCGGCCACCCATCTAAGCAGTGCTCACCCACTCCACCCTGTAATTCTCAAACACTGCCTCCTATTCTCTCTCTTTCTAGGTCCTATCAGAGTTTGTTTCCGTTTGTGTTTTGTTTTGACATGATTGTGTTTCTTCTTAGGTTGTTGTACTCATTATTTGGTTCCCTCGCTAGGTTGTGTAGGGACAGAGCCCATCTTGGTGCCTGCAGAGACTGGCATACAATAAGTGCTCAGTAAATGAACAGGCACTGGCGTGAGAAGAAGAAACAGCAGATTCAGCTAAAACCAGAAATCACTGGCCACACTCCTGCTGGAGAATTCTAAGAAACAGGGGGTTCCACAATTCCATGATGCCGAAGGTTCATCTTTCCAAGTTTGGGGGCATCTGTGAATTCCTAATTCCAAAACCTTTCCAGGAGGTGCCTTACCTCCCCTGGGAAGACAACAGGTCCCCTCTCTGGGCCACTAGTCCAAGCAGTGGTACCCCTTCCTCATCCTCTTCTCCTTTAGAGCCTCTGTCTTCTCCTGGGCCTTCTCTTGACAGAAGCCCTCCTTCTGGGGCTTCCCTGGTGGCACGGCGGTTAAGAATCCTCCTGCCAATGCAGGGGACACGGGTTCGAGCCCTGGTCTGGGAAGATCCCAGACGCTGGGATCATCCCACAAGCCCGTGCGCCACAACTACTGAGCCCACACGCCACAACTACTGAAGCCTGCGCGCCTACAGCCCATGCTCTGCAAAAAGAGAAGCCACCACAATGAGAAGCCCATGCACTGTAACGAGAGTAGCCCCTGATCACCACAACTAGAGAAAGCCCGCGTGCAGCAACAAAGACCCAATGCAGGGCTTCCCTGGTGGCGCAGTGGTTGAGAGTCCGCCTGCCGATGCAGGGGACGCGCGTTCTTGCCCTGGTTCGGGAAGATCCCACATGCCGCGGAGCGGTTGGGCCCATGAGCCATGGCTGCTGAGCCTGCGCGTCCGGAGCCTGTGCTCCGCAACGGGAGAGGCCACAACAGTGAGAGGCCCGCGTACCGCAAAAACAAAAAAAAAAAGACCCAGTGCAGCCAAACAAACAAAAAAAAGCCTTCCATCTCTTCAAGTTCAACAGCTCCTTCTTGACCCTCATCTCGCAGCTCTGCCCAGAGCAGCCTTTCCTCTCCCTGCCCCCATGCCCTCCTGATCTGTTGGCCCTCCTTCCTCTCTGAGGGCTGGTCCTCCTAGCCTAGTCACCTGAATGTCACCTTTGCCCACACCTCTGGTTGCCCAGGCTCTGAGCCACCACGTTCTCTTGGAGGCTTCAGGCATCACCTTCATGGAGATGGTTCCAAGCTCTGGCTCCACTCCTGGTCCTACCCTGAGACCCAGCCCTGTGAGTAGAGCCACCAACTAATGGATGTCCCCTTGGATGTTCCCCAGGCCACTAGATGCAGCACCTCTGCCCAGACCTGTCCCTCACCCTGTCAGGCCCCAGTCCACCCTGATCCCCCAGGACAGAGCATCAGCATAGCCTCTTTTCTCCCCTTCTCCTGCCATGCAACCCTGCTCCCCATTCACACAGCCCCCTACCTGCACCAGCCCTTCATCCTCTCCCATCTGGACCTCAAGCCACCTTCTCACTCTGAGCAGCTTTCACTATTGTCACCTTCTGTTTGAGTCTGGCCCTCCCTCACCTAAAACCCTCCCATGGCTTCCTATGGTCCTTGGGACAAAGTTCCAGATCTTTAGGCATCAGATGCCCTGCACCACCTGGCCCAGCCCAGCTTCACTTCCCTCCACCGGTTCAAACACTCTCTGCTCTGGCCACATCAGCCAGATTACCTAATCTGTGTTCCTCTCCACCTCTGGGTCTTTGTTTATGTTGTTATCTCTTTCGAGAATTCCCTCCCTCTCCTTTTCTGCCTGGAGAAAATCCATTCTGTCAAAGCCCAACCCAAAAGGCACCTCCTCCAGGCAGCTTCTCCGAAAGGCATCTCCCCTTCCACACACAGACTGTTTAAAGTTGGCAGGTACATGGGTATTTATTCTATAAACACCTCTTCATGGGGAAGATGATGGGGCCCTGGCGAGGACCAGCCCCAGGCCTAGCCTGGGAGGTTCCTAAGGTGGGTGGGACAGAGCTGAGGACACACCGCAGGCCCACCTAATCAGTGCCAGGAAAACTGTGCCCAGGGCCTAAAGGACCCAGAGGACGAACAGGAGCTCTGCCTGGTGAGTTCAGAGAAGGCTTCCTGGAAGAGGGGACTTTTACCCATCAGTGTTTAGATCCCTCAGCCAGGCACACTCCACAGGGGAGGGTAAATACAGATTTGTGGATTGCCTGAGAAGCCACAAAACCACACACACACACACACACACACACACACACACACACACACCTCTTAGTGTGTGTAATCTGCCAGGAAGGAGGAGATGATTTGCTCTGAGCAGCAGCAACCCGTTTGGAGAGCAGCTTTGAGAATTTGGGGAGGCTCAGCAGTCTGTGAGATGGGGATGAAACAGGAGGGGAGGGGGCAGGGCACAACCTTGAATGACATAGCCTGAGGACATGACATAAACTGATTACAACCAAATGGGTCCAAGATGGCAGATAAGTCGGACAAGTCAACTTCCAGTAGACCCTGAGCCTCAGTGTATGCTCACTGTAACACATCAACAAGCTGAATGACACACCCACAGGCACCATGACAATTCCAAGACCAACCATAATGATCAAAAAGTGGGCAGTGGCCCAATTCCTGGAAATCCCCACCCCTTCACGAAATAGCTGGAATACTCCTCCCCCTCATTAGCCTATGAAATTACCCACTCCTATAAAAACTGACAACCCCATAGCCTGGTGCATTCCTCACCTTCTGAGATGGCCCACACTCTGTGGAGTGTGTTTCTCTCTAAATAAATCCACTTCTTACCTATCACTTGTCTCTCACTGAATTCTTTCTGCGTTGAGACATCAAGAACCTGAGCTTCGGGGCTTCCCTGGTTGCACAGTGGTTAGGAATCTGCCTGCCAGTGCAGGGGACACGGGTTCGAGCCCTGGTCCGGGAAGATCCCACATGCCGGGAGCAACTAAGCCCGTGCGCCACAGCTACTGAGCCTGCACTCTAGAGCCCGCGAGCCGCAACTACTGAGACCGTGAGCCACAGCTACTGAAGCCCGCGTGCCTAGAGCCCGTGTTCCACAACAAGAGAAACCACTGCAGTGAGAAGCCCGCACACCACAATGAAGAGTAGCCCCCTCTCGCTGCAACTGGAGAAAGCCCGCGGGCTGCAACGAAGACCCAATGCAGCCAAAAATAATAAACAAATAAAATAAATAAATAAAATAAAAATAAAACTTAAAAAAAAAAAGAACCTGAGCTTCATTAAGTCCTGAAACCAGGTGTGTGATCTCAGTTGGAAGAGTGTGGGTTTTGGCCGGGTT